CTTCCCTCCCGGCTTGTTCCTCATTCGAGGTTAACTGTCCTAAGAGAAGCCGGGAGCGGTCAAAGGGTGGAACCGTCCGCCCCGCAAGTGCCGGGAGCCCCGCCCCGCCTCTGCGGCCTCCGGGGACGGCGCTGCCGGCGCGCATGCGCGCCCTCGCTCGCTCGCTGGAGTGACAGCGGACCCGGCTGAGGGGGCGGGGCCACGCCGGAGGCCCTGGGCACGACGGGAATTGTAATTGGCTTGCTGGACCTGAGCTACCTGCACTTCAGAAAACAAATCCCCTTTCCTCTTAGTCCCGCTTTCTTGCCCTTCCTCACTCCTGGAGGAATCTCAGGGAGTAGGCCCTGCCCCTTATCCTCAAATACCTCAGGGACCTTTAATAAGAGGGCCCCTGAAAATTTATGATTTTTTTTTTATTAATCCTAACCGGAGGTTATTTTTCCATGGATTTTTATTTTTATTTTTTAAAATATATTTTATTGATTTTTACACAGAGAGGAATTGAGAGGGATAGAGAGTGATTTTCGTCTTTTATGCTGTCTTTCACAATGTATTCAGCTATTAACTCATATTGTACACATTAAATATGTAGTTTGTCAACTATACCTCAATAAAGTTGAAAAAAATGCTGGTCGATGAGAGAGATACATCGACCAGCTGCCTCTTGCACACCCCACACGGGATGTGCCCGCAACCAAGGTACGTACCCTTGACTGGAATCGAACCCCGGGACCTTTCAGTCCGCAGGCTGACGCTCTATCCATTGAGCCAAACCGGTTTCAGCTCCATGGATTTTTTAGAGTGGAAGGGAGGAGAGAGAGTCATTGATGTGAGACACATGGATTGGTTGGCAAGTGCCCTTCACTGGAGCCCATGTTCTATCCACTGAGCCAAACTGGCTTGGGCCATGATTTTTTAAATTATTTTAAATCACAAACCTCCCAATGGAATTTTTATGTAGAAGTCTATTCTAAAGCATTGTGTCAGTGATTTTCAACTGGTGTGCTGCAAGAATTTTTAAAACCTGCAATACCTTACTATTTAGTCAAAGGCACTGACCTCTTTTCCCTTAGATTATCAAATTAAAAAATTACAACAGCTATCAGGTGTGAATGTGTCAAAATCTCCCCCCCCCCCTTTTTTTGGTCAGATTGGCAAGAAAAATACATGTTTTTTGGTGTGCCACAGAATTTTAGTAATTATTTTACATGTGTGCCATGAGATTAAAAAGGTTGAGCCCAATTTAATGAATGGAGGTGTCTTTAGTGGTTGAGCATCGACCTATGTACCGGAAGGTCACAGTTTGATTGCCGGTCAGGGTACATGCCTGGGTTTCGGGTTTGATTTCCAGTGTGGGGAATGCAGGGGGCAGCCGAACAATAATTCTCTCATCATTGATGTTTCTATCTCTCTCCCTTTCCAGTCCTCTATAATCAATAAATATATTTTTAAAAAGGTTGAAAATCACTGCACTGTATGCTCAAATTTATGCAGCTACATAGTCTCACCTTTTCCTTGTAGTTTATGCTGTCTTTCACAATGTATTCAGCTATTAACTCATATTGTACACATTAAATATGTAGTTTGTCAACTATACCTCAATAAAGTTGAAAAAAATGCTATATTCACTTTCTTGTCAGACTGAACATTTCATTAACGAAAACATCTTTATTTTATTTTATTTTTAAATATTTTATTGACTTTTTACAGAGAGGAAGGGAGAGGGAGAGTTAGAAACATCGATGAGAGAGAATCATCGACCAGCTGCCTCCTGCACACCTCCTACTGGGGATGTGCCCGCAACCAAGGTACATGCCCTTGACCGGAATCGAACCCGGAACCCTTCAGTCTGCAGGCCGGCGCTCTATCCACTGAGCCAAACCGGTTTCGGTGAAAACATCTTTATTTTAGACCTGAATAAGATACTTTCTCTTGATCCCATTCCCAGGTTTTCCCTATTGCTGCCACCAGAATGTGGTTCTTAGCTTATTTATTTAATGAATGGAAGTGTCCAATATATTTTGGCTCATCAATGTTTTGTTTGAAAGTTATTTCTTGTAGCTTTGATCAAGACATTTAAATTTAACAATCTGGGCCCTGTCTTTGCCTGTGCCCTTGCTGTACAGACATGGAAATGTTTAAGCATCATCCTTAGCAACAGATCATAACTGTAAGACCTGAGCCAGGAAATTATCCTTTATCAAATGTCGAAGTCCAAAGTCTAACTAAAAAGACCCAGGTAACAAAATGAGAAACAATTTCCATTTAAAATGTAAATCTCCTCAAAGCTGGATGCTTTTATAAAGCTTGTGCCTATTGATTTTAACTTTAAGAAGCAAGAAATTGACCTCCCTGAAGGATTAGTTTTTTCTCAGGCAGGTCTGCTGTTCATTCAAATCTCAGAGACTTTCCCTTTATAAAGAAAATAGAGGTCCAGTGCATGAAATTCGTGCACAAGGTATGTGTGTGGGGGTCCCTCTCAGCCCAGCCTGCTCTCTCTCCCATCCAAGACCCTTTGGTGATGTCCGACTGCTAGTTTATGCCCGATACTGAAGATTGGGCCTAAACTGACAGTCAGACACCCCTCTCACAATCCTGGACTGCTGGCTCCATGTCGCTCACCTACTTGCCTGGTTACCTCTGAATGCACCCCCCCCATGCTGGCTTGGTCACCCCCAATTGCCCCCTCCCTGCTGGCCTGGTTGCTCCTGTCATTGTGTGTGTGTGTGTGTGTGTGTGTGTGTGTGTGTGTCGCCAGTCTGGTCACCCCTTACTGCTCCCCATGCTGGCCAGGTTGCCCCAACTGCCCCACTTCTGCTGGTCTGGTTGCCCCTAACTGCTCTCCCAGCCAACCTGATCACCCCCAACTGCCCCCCCCCCCCCAACCTGGTGATCCCTCACGGCCCCCACACCAGCCTGGATGCCCCATGCAGCCTGCTTGTTCAGTCATTTGGTTATTCCTCACTAACCCCCTCTGCCGGCCTGGTCACGGGCAGCCATCTTGTGATGACATGAGGGTTAATTTGCATATTACCTCTTTATTATATAGGATATTGGAGATTTGCAATATCAAATTTTGTTTTATACCACAGTATTTTCACTCACTTATATATGTAAACACTGCCTAATAACAACATACTAAACCTCTTAAGGCACTTATATTTCTGAGCACATTTCAGATGTTAATACCTAGAAGAAAGATGTCTTAAGGAAAAAGTCCTTGGTATATTCAAACCAGTTTGCCTTTCTATTCTACTTCAATTCAAATATTTCCAGGTCAAAGTCTTTTCAGTTGTCTACACAGAATATAGTATGAGGGGGGGGGGGGGGATTATAAAGATAGATAGAATTGCAGTCAACATTAAAAAAATAAGAGATTTCACTAAGTTTCTGAAATCCATAGATCTTTTTCCTAGCCATTTGCATAATTTTAAACATAAGCAGGAAACAAGTATTTCATTATTCCTATAAGTTAAAGTCATTGATTTGAAAATCATATCTTCCATTAACTGTGGTCCAAGTTTAGATTTTTTTTTTTCTCATCAGTCAACAATTATCCTGAATTTTTCTGCTGGGATGCTCAGACTTCAGATTTCAAGAGAAACATATCTAACCCATTTCAGGACCAATTTTAAATAAGTTAAATTTACATCTGCTCTGGAGTCTAAAATTTTGATGCAATAAAAAAAATATTGTGTAATTAGCATACAATCTCCACAAAGCAATTTTTAAACCTGTAGCATTAAGCAAACATTCAAATCTAATATTAAAAGCCACAAATGAGAAGACTGGGAAATGAGAGTATTAACTTGACAAAGAGTCAAAAAAGCAAGCTAGCATTTTTTGAATGCCCTTATACACAATATTTTGCCTTATCTTCCCTTTAATATAAAGTAACTGGATTAAAATTTCATGGTTGCTCCATGACAGCTGCTCCAAAATTCAAAAATCTCCCAGTATTTTCGTTATTAACCCCTAACAGTAGCTTGAAAAACAAAATCTCTGCTTGAATCTCTTGTATCTCATCTTTTAAATTAAGATCTATGTAGTTCCACACCACATAGCAGCTAGCTGCCAGAGAGAATATAAAATTGGGTGTCTACTGTAAGAGGGCAATTCCTTGAAGAGAACTAAAGCCTGGGAATATTACCAGAGGGGCAGTAAATATGCATAAATATTCACACTTAGACAACACTGTAGGTAAATTAAGGTCCACTACTGATCCAAATCATTTTAGAAGAGAACTTAGAAATGATGAGAAAAATGGGACTAAACAGGTAAAGTAACTTTCTTAAAGTTATACAAATCGGGGGAAATCCTGGTTTCCTGACTTTGAATTCACTGCCTTCCCTCTACAACAGTGGTTGGCAAACTCATTTGTCAACAGAGCCAAATATCAACAGTACAATTAAAATTTCTTTTGAGAGCCAAATTTTTAAAACTTAAACTATATAGGTAGGTACATTGTTGTTAAACTTAGAGTACTCCTAAGCTGGCCTTTGCTGAAAACTCAAGTGTTCAAAGAGCCACATGTGGCTCGTGAGCCGCAGTTTGCCCACCACTGCTCTACAATATGGTTATTACCTTTCAAGCAACTCTTCCATTTCGAGTCAAAACGGCATTTCAAGGGGCAGGAAATTAGTTACATGACCCCAGGGGTACTGTTCAGTGAAGGCCAACATTTATGTGAGTCTTTCTTAACCTTCCCTTCCCCAACACCCTCCTATCACTAACAGTACAGCACTACTCCAGGTACAGCAGTTTTTAAGATTTTCGTCAAAGTGTACCTACCCCTGGGTTACTCTTCCCTCTCATCTTCCTCGTGTTTTTGTTTTTATTTTTTAAACCATTCCTTTACCCCCACACACGGAAAAGAAGAGCTCTTTCCAATCATTTTAATAACGTGGCAGTCAAAATATGAAAAGCAGACTCATACTTGTTTTCTTTAAGGGGGGGTGCTACCAACACAAGCATGCTCCAAACCTTAGATCTAAGCCTTCAATTCTAAGGTAATGATGACACCGATTCCAAAGAGCAAGGGTGGTAAGAAGGCTTCAAGGCTCACAGACGGAAAAGCTTGGTTTCGCAAAAGTCTCAGAGGGGTCGCCGGTGGCAGGAGAGACATGAAATGCAAGGGACCTTCACAGTACAGGGCGCGGCTGCTGGGTCATCAGCACCTTGAAACGTTTCTTGATGGTGACTCGGTGTCGGGAGTATTTGTCGTCTGGGGAGAACCGAGCAGGATGGGCCGAGCAGGTCTGTTGTCCCAGAGGATCAAACTTCTGCTCGAGGAAGGAAAGAGAGGACATAATCTCAGTACAGGAGGGATGAGAAAACTCAATCACCGGCATCGAAAGAGACCTGGAGGGCTGGGATAGGGAAAGGGACCCGCGAAAAAAAAGAGTAAAAACAGGAAGACAGGACGCTCGGCGGTCACAACCAGCAGTCATACACTCCAGCTTCCACCACGCCAGGCTCTGGCGAGTCTCAGCCTCTCCTCTCCCCCCTTCCCCCCGACAATTCTCGCCAAGCCCACGTATCTGTTCCCTCTTCTCACCTTCAGGGTATAGACCCGTTCCCCCTGTTCATTGAGGTAATACTGGAGAAACATGATCTCGCGGAAGCAGGAGGCTCCAACGCCGTCTGCGATTCTCTACAGAGAACTTCGCGTGGTTGTCAGCTTTCTTCCGGTGCAGCCGGAAATAGCTCTCAAGGCATGCCGGGAAATGTAGTCAATTGCGCGCCTCTCTCCAGCTGGGCAGAAGGCGGCGCGCTGGTGCGGGACTTGGCCCAGTTGCAACCAAGTTGCAACCTTGCAGCCATTGGTGCTCAGTTGCAACCTTGTAGGCTTTTTAAGACACGTGAAATGTGCCCATTGTGTGCCAGACATTGCGAGGCATAACAGGGGGAAAGGGATGAATATGGGATGAATATCAGTGAATAGAATCCTGTCTTTATCACAAGATGCGCAACCATTTCATGGGCATTGGGTTTCTAGTGACTGGAAAAATAAATGGCTCCAGGATTTAGAGCCCCTTTACCTTAGAGAAGAAAGAAAGATTTCTTTCCTCCCCTCTTTTACAGCCGGTTCCCCAGCCCTATCTTAAAGTACTGGCGGTAAAAGTGCATGATGGGTATTCAATGTACCGCAAAGAAAGCGTGCAGTTATTTTATGAAACTGGTGAAGTACGTTTTAGTGGTTGAACCAAGATTCAAACTCAGGTCTCTACCACGAATTCAGCGCTCTTTCTTATAGTGGTGAGTAACTAATAATAACATAATAAGATATACTTCCTAGGGGTATTTTGAATACTTTAAAGAACGTAGAAATTCTCTTATAGAGCTCTGGTTTAAAGAAATGAAAACTGGAAACTCAGATAACATTACAAAAATGATCGTTGCAGTATTATTTAAAATCGCAAGAACATTGGAATATATATTACTTTTATAAAGAGAAAAACCTGAAAGCTCTTTTTAAAAAAGGAATATAGTTATGTGTGAAAGGGTGATATCACCACAGGGTAATGAATTTCTGTTTGAAGTTAGTGTTTCCAAAGTATTTGGTCCGGGACGTGAATTTCGAATTGTTCAAGTTCCTGATGATATTGAGAAGTGTTTAGAAAAGAAGCAGCAATCTATGTAACGTCCTGTTTCTGTTTTAGCTTTTTTTTCCCCTAAAATATTCTTTCAACGATGATCAATTTAATTCAACACCTGACATATGCGTTCCTAAAAAGCTTTACATTAAAATATCTGACTTGCGTTGTCATGTTTTTTTTAAAAAAAAAGAATATAAATGTAATGATACAGACACATTTACTTGTAGTGCATAAAATATCTCTACAAGGATTCACAATATACATGATATTGGTTTCCTTTAAGACAAAATACTTGGGCTCCACGAGAGAGGAGTGGGAAGGGAGATTGCTGTTTTGCATACTTTTACTTTAGAACCAATAGCATGGTGAAGGCCTGGAGTGGGGCAGGGGCTAGGTGCAGGAGAAAGAGGCCTGAAAATAGGGGACATCTAGAATACTGTTAGCAATAATGAAAAAACAAAACCCTACACACATACAAAACCCTATACACATATGTGCACAGCCCATGAACACAGACACTAAATAGTGTGGACCAAGGCGGGGGTGGGAAGAGCGAGGGAGGGGAGGGAGGGGCGGGAAGAGCGAGGGAGGGGCGGGAGGGTGGGAACCGGGTGAAGGTGGGCAAAGGGGGGAGGGGAGAAATGGGGGCATCTGCAATAGTGTCAACAAAAATATTTCAATAAGAAAAACATTTTTAAAATTATTTAACAGCCCAGCCAGCGTGCCTCTGGTTGAGCGTCCACCTATGGAGGTCCCAATTCGATTAGTCAGGGCACATGCCCGGGTTGCGCTGGCTCCTCCCCAGTGGTGGTGGAGGGAGGGGAAGGGTGAAGGGACAGCCAATCAATGATTGTCTCTCATCATTGATATCTCTCTCTCTCTCTCTCTCTCTCTCTCTCTCTCTCTCTCTCTCTCTCTCTCTCTCTCTCTCCCCCCCTCGGGCGCGCATGCGCACGCGAAATCAATAAAAGCATATATATATATATTTTTTTAAATTACTTAACAGAATACTTACAAAAACGATTTAACAGACAAAAGAACTTTTTGGTCTTGATATTTTAGGCTGAATGCCAGTTGTTTTTTTTATAGTGTGTTGCTTTTCTGCCAAGGGTTAAGGTTGAGCCTTCTGTGGGCTATGGAGCTGATGGTAGTGGATTGTTTGGGAACTACATGACAGCTTCCCAAGGAACTGATATGCACACAGCAGCCAAACACTCTGGATCTTTCCAGACAATCCTAATTTCAGATATTCCATTCCCAATGAAATGTATTCTGAGTTGGTTCAGAAAATATAGCGAACACTGAATTAAATCAAGGGCCTGCCACGACCTACTATTATTAGGAAGTCAGTTACAGAACTGGGTGGGATTGAAGAGCACAAAGCTAAACATATTGATGAACAATTGAATAGGGAATGCAGATGTAAAATATAATGTTGGGAATCTGAGAAAAAGTCACAATTTGCTCTAAAGTGGCATACAACAATTGTGTTGCCAAACTCTGGTTGGGAGGGAATTCCTAGTTACTGCCAATTTACCAGAGCCCCTTGTGGAATATCTCCCTCCCCGTCCCCAGAACGCCCCGCCCCCTCTCCCGCACGCCCCTCCCCTTCTCCCGCATGCCCCCCCCTCCCGCACGCTCCTCCCCCCCCCCCCCCCGCATGCCCTCCCCTATAGAATGCCTTGAATCCTAGATTCTAGTTCTGTTTTGATTCCATCTTTACCCTTCCCTCCTTGGATCCCTGTGTATCTACTGGAGCTAGGTGACTCTCTGGGGCCTGGAGCTGACTTTCTCATTCTGGAGGCTTCTTCTAGACAGCCAGGGGTAGTGCCCAAACCTGAGAGGATGACTTCAGATGGAGGTAAGTCTGCAGGTGTGCGTGTTGGGGGCAGCGGGGCGTTTCCTTGGAGATTCAAATTTGACACTTTACCTGGGGTTGAGCACTTGGATTGACCAAGGGGTATGTGAAAGGACTAGACCCCGCAAAAGGCATCGCACTCGGGGAAGCTGGGGAAGTAGACCGTGCCATTAAGGCAGGGGGGTGGGGAAGGAAGAGGCCCTTTTGGGAGGAAGGTCAAAGCAGCTCGGAGGAGAGTGCTGATGTCTAGAGAAGGGATGGCACTTAGCAATTTGCTACTCTGGAAGAGGGACCCCTTCTACAAGCGTTGGTGACAAGGGGTATGTGTGTATGTGTGGCACCGAGATGGTTCAGGGGGAAGACCCAAGTTCCTGTGTCTTCCTTAGGTAATTGGGGCTTGATCTAGAATTTTGCCATGAGAGAATTGAGCTGGGGTCATTTTTTTTTTTTAATATATTTTGATTTTTTTTACAGAGAGGAAGGGAAGTGGGATAGAGAGCTAGAAACATAGATGAGAGAGAAACATCGACCAAGCTGCCTGCTGCACACCCACTATTGGGGATGTGCCGGCAACCGAGGTACATGCCCTTGACCAGAATCGAACCTGGGACCTTTCAATCCGCAGACCAACACTCTATCCACTGAGCCAAACCGGTTTTGGCAGCTGGGGTCATTCTCAATGTGTTGGGGGAGGGTGGGGAGGTGGATGGAGGCCCCCCCTAAAAAGCTTTTCGGTGGAGTTATCTGTTGCCAAGTCAACAGAGAAATGCCCTCCTGAAAGCTAGACTGGAAGGTATTATAACCCCTGCTCACCTCATGGCTCCTTCAGCCCCGGAGATGCTTCGCAGTTTTCCTTAATTCCCCCAGGGCCAGGATGAGAACCGGGGCTTCCCTGATTTTTCTGCTTTTTGTGGAACTCGGGCCTTCAGACCCGTTTCATTGTGTCTAAACCCCTGGCCCTCTGCTCTGTGGTTGAGATGACGGGTTTGCTCACATTCCCTGTCTCTTTTATGGTCTAGTGTCAAGAAGTAGACGCTGGCCGAAACCGGTTTGGCTCAGTGGTAGAGCGTTGGTCTGCAGACTGAAAGGTCCCGGGTTCGATTCTGGTCAAGGGCATGTACCTTGGTTGCGGGCACATCCCCAATGGGGGGTGTGCAAGAGGCAGCTGGTGTATGTTTCTAGCTCTCTATCTCTCTCCCTTCCTGTCTGTAAAATATCAATAAAATATATTAAAAAAAAAAAAAAAAAAGAAGTAGACGCTGAGTGTTGTTTATAATAGGGGAGGAGAGTGGCATGGAATTAGGCAGATGACCTATTATTATTATAAAAAGTCCTAGGAGACACATGTCCTGATTCATTAAGTAACGTTTTCATGTATTTATCCTTGGTCTCTTAGAGCCCACATGACTCCTTCTTAGCAGGTAATCTTTCAGACTTCAGCGTCAGTCCCTTGTTCGTGGTGGATCCTAAATTTCTGACAGCAGCTCCAAGCAGAACCACAGAGTCTGCATTGCCAAATGTTAACATGTGCAGCAGCTACTCAATGCTCTGGAAAACTCCCTCCCTCCCCTTCCCCCCCTCCCCGCCCCCCTATTTCCTGGCCCTTATCGCTAGTCATTCCTGCGATTATATAACAAAATTTCTGAGACGCAAACATTTCATCCGCACCCCTTCCCCTGGGACAGTGTTTCTGTGAGGGGTGGCCAGGACCACAGAGCAGCTGAAAGCAGCGTTCGGGTGGTTTGTACGGCTTTGGAATGTGTTGGCCTAAGAGATGTTCCAGTATGCTGGGTGGGATGTGAGCTTGATCTAGAATTTTGGAGCATGAGCTGTTGGGGCCAACGACCGTTGCAACTTATCTAGTGTAATAATTTTCAGTGGGGAGTAAGGGACATCAAAGTTACTTGGGGGACGTTTGCAAACTACACAAGTTTCCCCTCCATTTCCCCTTCCTATCCTGCTGAGAATCAGAGCTCTGGTTCTTCAAAGACTAAAGTAGAACTCTGATAACCTACTTTATGGTCTGCTTTTCTCCTGTTCCATTCCCTGCTTTTCTTTGTCTCAACAGCATCTCCATTGCCTGGACCAGACATGACCATGAAGCCTGGCCCTGCCCTGTCTCCTTTCACGGCACTTCCCACCCCCCCATCTGCTCCTGGCCCACCAGACCAAGCACCCTGGGAGCTGCCGCCACAGCCCTCCGTGCCTTCAGCTTTCTCTCCAGGCAACCCTCTGG